TGTCCTCACCAGTCAAGAATCATAATGATACCATGGTACCCCCGACCCTATGGGTGGGATTTCTGTGAGAAGTAAAGAAGAGAAAGCACATGACCCACCTAGCACAATGTCTTTTTTTTTTTTTAATATATATTTTATTGATTTTTTACAGAGAGGAAGAGAGAGATAGAGAGCTAGAAACGTCGATGAGAGAGAAACATAGACCAGCTGCCTCTTGCACACTCCTTATTGGGAATGTGCCCGCAACCAAGGTACATGCCCTTGACCGGAATTGAATCTGGGACCTTTCAGTCTTTAGACCGACGCTCTACCACTGAGCCAAACCGGTTTCGGCTAGCACAATGTCTTGCTCGTAATAAATGTTCCACAAGTATAAGATGCCAGTGTTAATGATGTCATAATGCTGTTAATAACATCACTTTAATGTTATTTAAACTAAAAATAAGTTAAGAACCAAAATAGCATTTGTAAAGTGCATAACCAAATACTAGTACATGGCACATAATGGATGTGACGGACACACCTTATAAAGAGGAAGAGAAGGGAGAAGCAGGTGGCACTAGGTTGTTGGGAGCTTAGAGTACAGTCATGATGACCGCATTCCCATAAAGCGGTAATAATAGTGATCATAGCGATGATAATAGTTATTTGGTATCTACTGTGAGCCCAGAATTGTGCCAAAAACCACCAGGTAGGTCATGATGTCGTCTCCGTTATCCAGGTAAGAGAACTGAAGCTCAGAAACACTATACTTGGGCCAAGGTCACCCATTAGCAAGTAGGGGTTACAAACAGGGTTTCAAACCCAGGCAGCATAATAGGAGTTTTGCGGTTGGAGATTAGGCACAGGCCAGATCCTTAGGGCCCCACAGTGAGAATGGGAGGTGGTTGAGAAGCACTGATCGGGTAATATGATCTCCTGAGCATGTTCCAAGGACCATCGGGTGGCTGCTGACCAGGTCTAGACTATACACGGCTTTGTATAGTTTGCACTATGGCCCCGCCTTGTGCGGGGCTGCTGTGTTGCACACCCTCATTCAGCAACCCTCTCGTTACTCTGTAGATGGCATCCCTGGGAATCAAAACCGGAGGCCCAGGTGGTGGTCACTTTCCCCTTTAGTAAGTGAGTGTGTTTCCAGGGGTCATACGGACCAGGGAAAACCTGAAGCATCTGTGTAGTCACTGTGACATACAGCCGTCACCCCTTACCTGTGGGAGTATGTAAGCTCCAAGACCCCAGTGGGTGCCTAAGGCTGCGGATAACACCAAACCCTACATACACTATGTTTTTTTTCCTATCTATGCATACCTTTCACATAAAGGATGCACATTACAGCCTCTCTGAGGCCTGTCTGAGTTGCCAGCATCGCTCCTCCTGTGCTTGGGACCATTATTCAGTAAAGTAAGGACGACGTGAACACACGCGCTGCAGTGCCCCGACAGGTGGCCTGATAACTGAGACACTACTACGTGACCCACAGGCAGCTACTGTGGACAGCGTGGAGACGCGGGCAAAGGGATGACTCGTGCCCCAGGCAGGACAGCAGGGTACCCCATGCTGTCATCCCACTACTCAGAATATACACAAGTCACAACTCACAAATAGTTTACTTCTGGGGGTTTTTATTTAGGGTTTTCAGACTGCAGTTGACCACAAGTAACTGAAACCTCAGGGGGAGCAAAACTGCTGGTCAGGGGGAGGCACTGTTTCGGCAAGTTTCTGGCCCAGAGGATCGCTGCTTTCCTGCCAGAGTGGAAATGTGGGCTCCCCTTGCCAAACCAGGGACCAGGGGCGGTTTCCCAGTCCCTACTCAGGAGTGCCAGTTACCAGGGAGAGGCCACTGCAATTTCACTCAATGCACAGGGATGACAGGGTGTTCTTGAGTACTGCCAGCCCCCCGGAGGACCGCGGCTGAGTCTCGAAGGTGTGATCCAGTTGACAATATAATACCGTTCAGGTCACTGGTTCACTCTGCGAGAACCATCCCATCCTGCCTTCGAAATCTTAGGGCAAGTTGAGTTAATGGCAAGGAAGTGGCCGAGCTTTTAAGCCGTAGCATGCCATTAAGCCGTGAGAGGCAATTGAAGCAAAAGCATTTTTGTGTTAAGTTCAGAACCTGCCTGTTTTCATAGCTCTATGACTCATTCTCTCCTGAGGCCTCAGAAATAAACTTTTTAGGAGAACTAAATGCTGTCTTGTGAAAGAAGCAACTATTCTAGAAAAGAGACAAACCTCAGGTCGAATTGCTAAGACCTCTCGCAGGCCATCCTGTCCTGGCATCTCGGCGGTTACACTATTTCGGCACAGATGGCTGTCTTTTCCAGAAAATTTCCGGTCTAATGTGCTATGTATGGCCGCCCAGTCTATTTTCTTTGAAAATCACTCTGAAAGTTAAGGAATTCCTTCCTCTCTATTCAACACCCATCGCTAAGGCTATAATTTAAACCAATTTCCTCTTATTCGGCCTTCTCTGGCCACGGAGAAGAGCTGGTCAGCATCTTCCATGTACAAGGGCCTTTAATCAAACTCCTATTTGTTCCCAATTCTGCAGGCTACACTATCCCACTTCCTCTGACCTTTGACACAGGACTTACTCTCCGTCCCTTTAGTCATTTTGGTTAGTCTTTCCCCCACATGTGTCAAACACAAGGCCCGCGGGCCAAATCCGTCCCGCCAGGCCTTGCAATGTGGCCCGCACCGCGCTGTCATCACTGCACTCCACTGTGTTTCCATCACAATGACAGTTTATGACTGTTCAGTAAACCATTCAGCCCGCGATTTAGGCTGGATTTTAGATTTTGGCCGCTTCTCTGATTGAGTTCGACACCCCTACGAGTCCTACACTGTCTACAAAAGAATCTTTAATTCCCTTCATGTAATTTTAAGGAGCTATTTTCCTCTAAGAAAATCTGAAACTGCCGAAACCAGTGTGGCTCAGTAGATAGAGCGTTGGCCTGTGGACTTAAGGGTCCCAGATTCGATTCCGATCAAGGGCATGAACCTTGGTTGCAGGCACATCCCCAGTAGTAAAAAATCTGAAACCTTCTCTCATTTTGGGGCACATTCAGTCCGGATTTTGGCCGTCCCGATGTAGGTGTGCCGTGCCTGGAGATTTTCTTTTCAGCATCTCCCATCATCTTGCATCCGAGGGGGTCACATTTGGACAGAGTGAACCATGTGATTTCTGATTGCCTCTCTCCCTTCCCTATAAACACAGAAGGAACATCTGAAGGAAGGATGGGGGAGGGGAGGCACATTCTGCCTGGCAATGCCGGGAGTTAGAGGAGACGCCGTGCGAACAGCAGAGAATTGGAGTAACTGGAGAATAATGTGCTGCTTTTACGTTGAGGCTGGTTGAGAGCCCGTCTGGTTCTATTACTTTGATGAAAAAGCAGAGAGGTTTCACGGTTTATTATCACTTCACATTTGCAGAATTGGAGGGAAGGTGGCATGATAGGTGAACCCATATACTTGAATGATTCTTGGCTAAAATCACTCCACACTGCACTTACGTATTCATTACTTTCTGATGCAAAGAGAGGGAGTTTCCGAAGGAAGCAGGCTATTCTCGGCCTGCTTCTGCGAGCTGTTTGAGAAACTCTGGGGTTAGTTTCAGGCTTCAGGAGGACCATCCGGAAACCGAGGTGGTAATTCTCTTGTTTGTTTATGCAGTGGTGGTAGCCACCTCCTGGCCCCGAGGCCGAGGGCAGCCACTCTGCCTGCCCCGGAGACATTGTCTGCCCATCACACCTGGGCTCTCCCGCTGACAGCGTTCCTTCCCGCATTCAAGGGGCCAGGTGGTCCAGGAAGAGTTGGTTCAATTTCTCTCTTCTTCACCCCATTCCTTCCCCCACATCAAGGAATTAGTGTTTTCGGTGGCTGCCAATGTTAGGCTCCGGTCCACTTCTTTGGTGTCAAGAATAGCTCTGTGGCCTGTTGGGAACTAACCTCTGCCACCAGCCCCTGCCCTTCCTGCAACCTACTTCCATGAGTGGAATGCTGAGGGCCAGTGGGGAGGCTTTTTTGTCATAGAAATAGGATCCTGGAGTTCCGAGTGTGGTTTTGTGTGTGTGTGTGTGTGTGTGTGTGTGTGTGTGTGTGTGTTTTTCCTTTGCTTTTCCATGAAAGTTTGGTCAGCAGTCTTATGGGAAATGTTCCTTAATAATGTTAGTAATGATGATAGCTTCAGATCTTGACGGAAGGCTCTCCAGGGGCTAAGTGATTAACATCAATTTTAATCTTTCCCATCACCTGGTAAGATAGATACTAGCACAGTGTCTGTTTTACAGATGAGGAGACTTGAGGTGCAGAAAGCTTGAACATCTGACTATGCTGGCCCGCCTGGTGACTGCTGACCTCGGGGGGTGGGGGGTGGGAGGGAGCATTTAACTGGCAAGCCATGCATTTAGCATCTTTGTGACTTAGCGACTCGGATGCCCTGGATCCCCGGATATAAGGAGAAGCTTAGGACGAATTAGATCATTGACATTTATTGAGGCCTGTGTGCCAGGAACCTGGCACTGTACATGGATGATCTCATTTAAGGTGGACTTGAACCCTGTCACGAGGATGCTGCTGTAATTATCACCGCTTCATTGAGGAAATTTTGAGGCCCAGAAAAGTTGAGCCTCTTTCTCAGCATCACAGAGGTGGAACCATGGAGCTAGCATTCCCACCTAAGCAGTCTGGCTCCCATAATACCATGGGAACATAGTATTGGAATATTGAAGGCTGTGGAGGGGACCAGGGCTGCAGAAAACTTGGGACTCTGAGACATGGACTAAGAGTTCTCTACACCCTCCGATGAAGGTTTTTCCTGGTTACTTGGTGGGACCGAAGTTTCAGCCAGACAGCCAAAGCCTGTGTCCCTCGGGGTGTGTCAGGCTTGGCCTGGGGCACATCCTATCATTATTGTGTTCTTGTCACCCCCACCCGCTTTGGACCACGTTACTTTTCTAACCAATGTTCTTTTGTTCTCCCCTCTCTGGCTCTCTGTGCAGCTCGAGGCTTTCTATTCCATCTTCACCACGGAGCAGCAGGACCATGTCAAGTCAGTGGAGTACCTGAGAAATAACTTCCGGCCACAGCAGGGGCTGAACGGCAGGGTGGTGTCCAAGTCCGCCGTTCGCGACGCCTGGAACCACGACCTGACAGACTTCCTCGATAACCCGCTGGGGACGGAGGCCTCTAAAGGTACCTGCGGGCAAAGTGCCCTTGCCCCTGATCATAAACTACTTCACATGGAAAGGAGTTCAAAGCCAGCCCAGAACTGGCGCTTGGTGTTCAGAGTGTGCTTCTCTGCCGAAGGGACCTGGTCGTTGCTTAGGAGAAGCAGGTGTAGGAATAGCTTCAGGTAACTGGATGTGTTCAAAACTGCCCTTTGACTAGGTATGTAGTAGTTATTCTCTCGGACTCTGTACCTTGCGACATCGGCACTAGTCCGTTCATGTCTGAAGAACGCGTTGGGGTGTCTTACTCTTTACCTGTCTGGGTCAGGAGTTTGTCTCGGGGCCTGCTCCTAGGATAAAGTGACCAGGCGGTCCCGATTTTTAACAGTTTGTCCCGCCAAAAGCTGGATGTCTGGTTACCTTATCCTAGGAGCAAGTCCAGGCCCCAAAACAAATTTTAAAACACGATTTTAAAAAGTCAGTCCCGATTTTTAACAGTTTGTCCCATGGCATTTTAAAAAAGTCGGGATTGAGTTTTTTTAAAACGCCGTGGGACGCGGGACAGTGTTAAAAATCGGTATGTCTGGTCACCTTATCCTAGGACCCCTGTCTGCAGCGTCCTTACCAACGTGCAGCCCAGGCGGGGCGCCAGGCAGCTCTGCCCCTCCAGGAACCATCTGGCCTTTTGGAACTAGCACTTCGCAGTTTAGTGTCGTGTCTGATAAACCTAAGTCTGTAAATTTCAGCCATCGAATCCTTTCCATTCCTACTTCCTCAATGTGACATGAGCATGCGTTTCTCTCCCAGGAAACTCGAAAGCCGGCTCTCCCCTGGCATCCCGCCCCCTCCCAGCTCTGTGACTTGTCATATGGTGGCTCAGAGTTTGGGAAATGCTTAGCGGAGTGAGGCCGATCACAGCCCGAGCACCTGGAGGGAGGGAGGAATAACAGGCGTGTTTATGATCTCTCTCAAGCCAGTGCGCTCCTTCTTCAAAACTGTGAACTTGGGTAATGCAGGGTGAGCTGGGATCGTCTGTGGGCACTGGAGTTCAGTGCAGGGTGTTACATGGGGAAGTTTGACATGGGGCTGGCACACGACCTCTGTGGGAACAGGGGGGCTGAGATTCTGTCCACAAATAACGGCATGGACGTGCACTTTGATGGTCAGAATAAGCCCATTTTGCAGGTGCGTAGCTGCAAAGGAGCTGAAAGAAGAGGCGAGGATGTTTAAGAGTGAGACCCTCGTCCTCCTGTCTGATTTGTCTGGGGATGGTGAGGAGGAGTCGGTCTGGCCAGACTCTGTCAGGAACCGCTGGAGACTCCAGTGATAACGGGGGCTGACACCTTGTCAAGGGCATCATCTATCAGCTGGGAACAATGGGAGGGCTAAGAAGCACACCAACCTTAAAATACCTGCAGCTGGGCCGCCGTGGAAACCCGCACGCAGGCTCATTTTTTTTTCCACCCAGCTAAAAATAAAAGCAAACCACTGAACTCCAGCGCTGTCTCCCCAGGGAACCGGCTTGGGAAATAGCTCGTGGGAGCTGACTGTCTTGTGAGACGTGAATGTGGAGGACGTGTGGGGGGTGAGGAATTTATATCTCAAGGGAGCTCTGGAGCTGGGCGCTGCTAAGGATGTGACAGTCGCAAAGTCCCTTCCTTAGAAACGGGCTGAGGAGGCGATGTTGTCAGCCGTGCGAAGAGAATGCGTGGCCCTTCGTGCCCAGGAAGTGGAGGCAGTGGTTTCCCCTTGCACTAAATTGTCGAAGCGGACAAGAGCCTCTGCTGCCACGACTTTTCTCTGAATTTGAGCGGAGCCCTGGACCCGTCCTTCCGTGTAACAGCCAGTTCTTCATTCTGCAGATTTGTGGCAACTATCACAGTGTCCATTGCTGACTCCTAAGGTGTGTGAATGTGAAGAAGTTTGTGATATCTTGAGAAGCAGAAAGAGATGTAGTTTCAATCCTATATCTTCTTTTTTAATCCTCGCCCAATGATAATTTCCCATTGATTTTTTTTAATGTTCCCATGTTTTTAACAGGTTTTTTTTCTTTTTTAAAAAATTTAATGTCTTTAATATATTTTAATGATTTTTAACAGAGAGGAAGGAAGAGGGATAGAGAGTTAGATACATTGATGAGAAAGAAACATCGATCAGCTGCCTCCTGCACACCTCCTACAAGGTGTAGTACATGCCCTTCACCTTTCAGTCCGCAGGCTGATGCTCTATCCACTGAGCCAAACTGGTTAGGGCTTTCCATTGGTTTTTAGAGAGAGTGGGAGAGGGAAAGACAGGGAGAAATAGCGATGTAAGAGAAACACATCAATTGGTTGCCTCCTGCACGAACCCCAACTAAGGCCCAGGCCAGTGAGGAGCCTGCAATCACAGTACACACCCTTGACTGGAATCAAACCCAGGACCCTTTGGTCTGCAGGACAACACTCTATCCACTGAGCCAAAATGGCTAGGACCCTACATCTTTTTTAAACAGAGTATCAGTGTTAACACACAGAAAAACACACTTGATGAGTTTTCACTAACTGGATACACTTGAGTCACAAACACCCAGATCCAGAAGCTCACACCACCAGTTCCCAGAAGCACTGGCGCCTCTTGTTCCTGGTCACAGGCTGTGCCCACGGGCAGCCATGGCCGTGAGCTAGCCTAGCCTGCTGGTAGGTTCCAGGGAAACAGCCATGCGGGTAGCCTTTTTGTGCCTCGCTCCTTGTGCCCTTCTGGTTTTGAGAGTCATCTATGCTGTCCCATGCAGCTGTAGTGTGTCCTTTCTTATTGCTGAATACATAGTGTGACTGTACCTGACTTGTTTATCTTTTCCAATAGACATGGGTGTATGGATTATTCTTGCACTTTGATGATTATGAAAATGCTTGAGCATGTTTTGTAATGAGCGTATGGACACATCTCTGCAGGGTACGCACCCAGGAGTAAAGGCTGCACTCAGGTACACCTACATGTTCCGATCTGGTTACATATGGCCAGACAGTTCCCCAAAAAGATTGTATGTGACAACAGTGTATGAAGTTCCTGTTTTACAGCTTCTGGGTGTCTTTTATTTTAAAGGCATAATCTACATACCATGAAATTCAGCAATTGAACAAGTCCAATAATTTTTAGCAAATTTATAGTTTACAGCCATTTTTATCGCCCCAGAAAGATCGTCATGTCCTGGTGCAGCCAATTCTTCCTCCTGTGGTCTCTTCCAGCCACCGCTGATGTGCTTCATCTTTCCCTTGGTGTTAGGAGCTTAAGATTTATCCAGAGCGTATATGCATGTATCGTAGCTTATTGCTTTTTATTGCTGATAGTCTATTTGTTTTATATTTTTAATAACAGCTTTATTGAGATTTAATCCGCATACCATAAAGTTCATTCTTTTTAAGTGTACACTTCATTGGTTTTTAGTGTTTTCACAAAGTTGTACAGTCATCCAGTCATCACAACTCTGTATCTGCTTTCAGAGCATTTTCATCACCACACAAAGAAACCCCGTGCCCATCAGCTGTCACTCCTGGCCTCCTTCCTCTCCTTTTCCCCCGCCTCCCCTCAGGTCCCCCAGCCCCAGCCAACCACTATTGCACTGTCTCTCTGGACTCGGCTATTCTGAGTGGTTCATATAAATGGAATCGTGCAATGTATGGCTTTTTCTTCTTCAGCCTATTTCACTTAGCATCATATTTTCAAGGTTCACCCATATTCATGCACGTATCAGAATTGCAATCCATTTTACTACTAAATACTCTACCATTGTATAGATATGCCACAGTTTTTATCCACTTATCAATTTGCGTTTTTTCCACTTCTTGGCCATTATGAACAGTGCGGTTAGGAGCATTCATGTTTAAGGTTTTGTAAGGACATAGTTTTCTCCTGGATGTAACCCAGGAGTAGAGTTTCTGAGCCACACTCTGTGCTTTTGGTTTTGAAGAACTGACAAACTGAGTCCCGAATGGCTGCCCCCGTTGCCTTTCCCATCAGCAGTGTAGGAAGCTCTGACTTCTCCACATCTGCATCAGATTGCTCACCTCTTTCATTTTGCCAACCTACAGCGGGGGGGAGTAGAATCTCTTTGAGGTTTGATTTGCACTGCCCTAATGACTCATGATGTCCTATTTGCTATTCAGTGCACATGCCATGGAGCCATGGCCAACATGCCCCAATGTTTCTGATTCCTTCTGCCCCAGAAGACTTGGGTCCAGGGCACTGCAGGCCAAGGACTACCCGCAGGTGCTGGCATTGCCAGACAGCAGGAGGACTGAGATTGTTCACTTTAGGGAATAAATACACAGACAAGAAGAGTTCCCTCTCTTCAATCTTCCGCCAAAAAAAAAGATTTCAAGGAGAGAAGGATGGTATTCTGTAATTTTCAGGTAATTCAAAAGGAACCGATCCTGTCTGATTCACAGTCCCTATCTGGTCATTACTAGGAAGCTCTCAGTGCCTGGGAGAGCCATGATGTTGATCATGACGCTATGCATTTATTGGGCTATTGTCACAGAAGAAAGAAAAATCAACTAATCACACAGGACAAGAGTCAATAAACTTTGTCTGAGTACCGGACAGTGGGTCCTGTGGTCTCTGTTGCAACTACTTAGTTCTGCAACCGTAGCATGAAGGCAGCCATTGCCTGTATATACAATAAAAATGGCTGGATGTAGAAATAAAAAACTTAACGTTGCCCTGGTTGATTTGGTTCAGTGGATAGAGCATGGACCAGTGAACTGAAGGGTCCCGGGTTCAATTCTGGTCAAGGGCACATATCCGGGTTGTGGGCTCCATCCTCAGTAGGGGACATGCAGGAGGCAGCCGATGAATGATTCTTTCTCATCATTGATGTTTCTATCTCTCTTCCTCTCCCTTACTCTCTGGAATACACACACACACACACACACACACACACACAACTTACAAAAAAATAGGTGACAGGCTGGATTTGGCTTGGGAACCACAGTTTAGTGACCCCTGCTCTAATGATGGCTTTAGATTTGCTTTAAAGTAACCGTTTTC